ACAACAACAACAACAACTACTACTACCACTACTACTACTTAGTACTATCAGTATTACTACAACTAACAACAACAACAACTACTACTACTATTACTACTACTACTACTACTACTATTAACTGCTGCTGCTGCCCTCCTACTATAATTACTATACTCCTACTCCGATGACGATGGCCACAGAAAGAGAGCTCAGGCCCCATCCGGTTTTGCTATTACGACCCTCATTTCCCAGTCCATTGTTTCGAGATTGGTCCGCCCAGAAAGGGGGAGGTATTACAACGATGTGCAAGGACAGAGCCTGACGCATTCACGCACATGGACGCACATTGCCAATACTGCACAGGATCCATGACAGTAGCAAGGCGGCAAGGATCAGCTGCCCAGACAGGGCAGCAGAACAGCAGCTGGCGGACTGCATGACAGCAGCAGGACAGACATCAGCAACGATGTTAGGCGGCCAGCTGTACCGGAATGGAGCTGGTGATTCGTCAAGCAGGTGGTTCGGTGTGCAGTTTACAACCCCGGAGCTGAGGTCTAGAATCTGCCTTCCGGATCTTGGATGATGGGGGTCGGTGTCTTGTCACCACCTTCAAGCGCAAGGAGGAGCTGCAGTTGAGTGGAACTTGCACTGGCATCAAGTTGATGGGATTTGATGAGGAGATGGTGGTCCGAAAATTCGTGGCCAACCACGAGGATCCGGATGAGGCCACTGTGCAGCTCTCAGATGAACGCTTTGTCAGCAAACATGTTGGATGACAAGTAACTTGGTGCCCAGGTGGCTAGAATCAAAAAGAAAAGGCGGCACAGGGTCTGTTTAAGACTCATAAGCCAGGACTTAACGGACTTGCATTCTTGCGCAGGCGGTTGGTGGAGCTCTACCCTCTCAGCGGGCCATGGCACCCATTGGATCCTGAAGGCACTTGCAGCCGTACAGCAATTGCAGAGCAGCCGAGGACAGATCTGGACTACGCCGTGCGGCTAGTCTCGCTCCCCTTGAAGCTGGACAACTCAGAAGAGTAAGAGTTGCAGGTGCTTTGCTGAAAGCTGACAAGATGCACCATTCCAGGCCTGCTACTGGCGAGGTGAGCATGAACGCGCGGGCACGATCAGGCCTGCAAAGCTGTGGAGGTTTTGTACTAGCTTTCAAGAAGCTCCATACTCGTGGCTTCTTGCAGCTAATGGCAGGCAGAAGGACGGCTAAACATCAAGATGCACCTGCATTTCTGTATGAAAAAGAATTGGCAAACCCTGTCCAACACTCCACAAAGCCAGTTGTGAAGTCCTGATGAGCCAGGTCCCCTCCAAAAGCACCAGGTGCAAGCACTCCAATTCTCAAGTCCTGCGTTCTTCACCTCTTGGGTTTGGGGCTGCGTCCCCCTTCAAGTTTCAGGAGCTGCAGCATGGAAGGTGTTCGGGCGGCACCCATCAACTGCATGATGGCATCTGAGCTTGTGTTCTGTGTCGGAAAGCAGAAGGTGTTGGTACACCTCCTGAACAACCCTACACCCCTACACAACCTCGCCCTCCACACCCGAAATGCCGGTCACTTCGCGCCAGCATTGACTTTGAGAAAACGATCTGACATACTTTGGAGATTCCCGAGTTTGCATGCTGAAATCTCAAGGACTTATATGCATTATTGTTTGAGACTGCTAGCATGACATTCGATGCGGTCAGTGGAAGACATGATTCTGCTATGCAGGCGCGCTCCACGTGTTGGAGAAGGTTCCCAGAACTTGCCCGCGAGTACGGGTGAAGCCAAGGACCATGTTGGCCTGCTGTGACAGAATCGCAAGAACGTGTGACTGATGAGACGGATTAGGAGGCCCCGAGCTGCAGCTCTCGGTATTCGTAGACATCTGGGGTGTTGGACAACAGCTACGCTTTAACTTCTCAGACCGTTCCCTCATCAGCTAGTTGGCAGGAGACCGACGAATCGCTTCCGAGAGCCCACTCGGACACCACTCATTTGACGCAGCTGGCGCTTAGCTCGTTTCACCTCTCGGCCTGGTCGGCCAAACAAGCGTGCAGCTCTGGTATGTTTATGTCTAGCTGCAGTGTTCATTGCATGGTCGTGCGACCGGCTTCGAATCATCGCAGGACAAAAGGCATGAGAAGATTGAAGCCTGTTGTCAGTTCATGCCAGCAACCTTTGAAGGCACGGCATAAACCGCAGGTGAAGAAGAGCTGGGCCTTCCTTTGTCCCTATCCACTCCTGAGAGGATAGGAAGCGCTGGCAAAGGTTCAGTGCCAAAGCGCTTGTGCCCTTCGACAGCTTGAGACCAGCCAGGCCCCAACGCCAAGAGAACCACATGCAAATTCTGGTTGCAGGCGGGCTGCTGTTGTTTCCCACGCCGAAAAGATAGCAATCCTCCGTGCCTGCAGGGTACTTGTACAAAGCGTCCATCCTGCACATTTGCTCATGGCGATCAAGAACGTGCGGGGCCCTTAAAGATGACAAGTTGCCCAAGCAGCGCATAGCATCACCAGAGACAAGCAACTCCCTCAAACAGGTTCTTTTTGAAGGATTTTCTAGGCAAACTCAGAAGTTTGGAGACACAAGGTGGGTGCTCCGACTCCTTCGCCTGCTCCACAAAATCTCTGGCAAGGCCAGTGATTTTGGAGATAATTCAGACAAACTTGTCCGGTGTATTAAGTCTACATGATCGACAGCACCCCAGTACAAGTAACTGCCCAGTCTTGTTTTTGGTGTTTGCACATTGTGTGCTGAACATCCTTTCCACTGGTCTTCCTTAATTAGCGTTGGTCGGGCTTTTCCTGTGCTAGGCTCTTCTGACGAGCCACTCAACATTGAAATTGCAGCCGTGCTTTCAAGGTCTGATGCAGAGGAGGAACGCATCCGCTTCGGCTTCGATTGGCCGTGCGCTGGGCGCAGCACTAAGCAAAGCGCTGTGACAGAAAGTGTCGTTTGGGGAGCGGGAGCATGATGACTGACATTTGAAGGCTCTCCGCGCTTGTCGGCTCCAACAGGCAGTGACATTACCAACCGAGAGCGTTGAGGGCGAAAGCGTCTGCTAGGTCCCAACACCAAGCGAACCATCTGCAGATTCTGGGAGCAGGCCGATCGTTGCCTGAATGGGTTCCTTCCTGCCTGGTTTGCCCTGCAAAGTATGGGCTGTGGCGCCTGGCGGATGGCCATTCTATCTGCTCCTCGGCGAGCGAGCCAACATGAATCGTTGTAGCTCCGGGTAGCCCCTGCCCTTCGCACGGAAACTGCGTTTGCTTGTCTTCTTTGTCTCTGCAGCCCATCACGTTGTAAAAGGGTTGAAGAAAGTGTAGAGACAAGGGACAGAGGATGAGTCAAGCTAAGAGTTGAGATGTTTTAAATGGCATCCTGCAGGGGCTTTGCGCCAAAGGGAACGACTGCACCTTTGCTCACGGTGATGAGGAGATCGGGGCTCGAGACTGAGAATCTTGGGATCTCCAGAGGTCATACACGTAACGCTGCCTCTGGCCGCTGCCTTGCTGTGCTGAGCTCTTGCATAAGGAAGTGTTTGCAAGTAACAAAGGCTGCAGGAAGTTTGGGAGGTAACATCCTGCGTGCTCTGCGGAGCATTAGGCCTCGAGGCACCCGAGTGTATCGAACCCCACAAGTTGTTTTCTGCACGGCCTGAGAAGACATCTTGCAAGTTTTCCCACAATATCGAAGATGGAAGCCGCTTCGGTGGCAAGCACTGAGTCTTGTAGGCAACAATGTGAGCTTGACTTCCTCGCCGCGCTCAAGCTGATGGATTTTGTGGGTGGCCTTAGGTAGCTTCAGGGAACCTAAGTACCAACTTTTGGGGATGGGGTTGCCCTATCTACTGTGCTCAGCCGAGCTTGGCCTTGATTGCCCTGACTTTCCTTGTGGGCTTCCTTTGTAGGGCGTTCTGTGTTTCCTTCCTGGCCTGCAAATTGTTTGGATTGCCGGGCCTCCCTTGGATTTCCCCGTCCATAACCCCGCGTTTGGCAGCCTGCATGCTCAGTCAAGGGACTACCAAGGTGTCCGCTAGGATTCTGTCTGGCCGCGCCCGTGTCATGAGGGCTTGGAAAGCTGGTGCGTGGGCAAAGCTTGTCCTTAAGGGTGCTACGGGTATTTCTGTGCCTAGCACTGTGCTGTCATCGCCTTCCAGGTTCTACGCCGTGGTGGGTGGCACGGGCATTCAACAAGCTACTGTGCATACCGTGCCGTGAGGCCCTGGGGCCCCTTGAGCAATCACGACGCAGCTGGTTGTCACGGCCATTGCAAGCCTAGGAGACGGCCTCATGGAAGCCCTTGCAGCTGACGTGTTGTTGCGGGATCATGGATTTCTCCTTGCCATTCCCACTGGGGTATTGGCAGGTTTGATCACTCCGATGGATGCCCTGCTTGGGCCACATGGCCCTGCGGCTGTACTCAGCATCGGGTCTCGCCCCACGCCCGGGAAGCGTGGTGCAGCTAAACTTCGTGGATATGTCTGCCGAAGGTCTGCCGCGTCTGAGCTCTCATGATGCAGAGTCTCCTCCAGCGCAAGTGGTAGACTTCAGCTATTCTTGACTGGACATGTTGCCCAAGCCCGCTGCCCTTCATCAGCTGGCGCTCCAGTGGATCACGGAGCCTGCGGCCCGAGAGATAGACCGCGCGACTTACTACAGCGCCGAGGAGGAGGCAGAGCCTGTGCCACTTCCTCGATTGCCCTTGCGAGTGCTGAAGATGGGCCCTGCGCCGTCCTTCAAGAGTGTGATTCCGGAAGGTACGGCCGGGCTATCTTGGATACGCATACAGGTGCCAAAGCAACTGGAGCAGATAGATGCACGCCAGCCGGCATTTTGCAGAGATGGTCAGTTTTTACGGTTTGAGAAGCGACTCCAAAGCTCTCCTGGGGCAGCCGCCTCCCACTCGCTCCCCCGATCTTCAGAGTGCGCAAGAAGCAGAGCTGATAGACTGGCCAACGACAGCAGCGACTTGCCACGGCCATGCTTGCTCAGCCTTAGGCCTTAACCAGGCTGGCTCTCGCCCCGTCTGGGTCAGTGGGCGTAAGTGGGGCCTCTCAACGCGCAAAATTCCAGGAGGACCTGGCAAGCGGCAAAGGCACGTTCTTTGCTCAGGTTCTGGCAAACCTGACTCGCAGGACGCAGCCAGCACTTGTGCATATCAGCACCCCCCGCTGCTGGGAAAGGGCTCTCGAGGGTATGCACCTGTAGTGCATCAGTGCAAGCCCACAGAATAGACCTTGCAAAGGATCATATCGCACTGATGGCCATTGTGTTAGAGCTCGACGGAAACCGGACAGGCCTACCACTCAACCTTCTTGGGAGCCACCTGTGGGGTTGTTCCTGGCCAGGCGAGGTACTCACGCGCGAGCCTTCGCTCGCTTTGCAGAAGTGGGTGACAGTTGTGCTTTGGTATCTCAAAGAGCTGGACACCATCCTAAATCGCCGCAAGGAGTTCGTGATGCTTGCAAGCTTGCCCTGCACCGGCTCCTCCCTATCCCAGCCCCTCATGGCCTTGAAGAAAGGGCTCAACAGGTCTCTTGCCGGGTTGGCACGCCTCTTCCTGCTGGCTGTTGTTTCCGATGGCCCTCCTTCTTAGCTCCTCTGCCAGGCTGTTGCTGGTCGCTTCCAAGAAGGAGCCACTCCTTGCGTACCTGACTGCCACCATGACTAGCACGGTTTTTTCCAGGTGAGGGCCCCGCGCCCCTGCCTCCTAGGACCTCTGCTCTGCTCGCCTTGGACTTGGGCGAGAGCTTTTCTTCTTAACTTGGTCTGTGTTTGGGCTTGCACCTTGCTTTGGATCCTCATTGTCACTTCTCCCCATCCCAGCCTTGGCTTCGACTGCTGGTGAGGGTTGCCGGGTTGGGTTTTCTTTCGCCTTCTCACTGTGGTGCAGGCCATGGATGCGCCTGCCCCGCGTACGTGCCGGACGCCGGCAGCCTCTTACTCTGGTAGCCGACAGGGTAGTTAGACCTTCAACACGGTCGAACCGCCAGAAGCTTCTCCTGGAGTTTGACAACTGGCTGCAGCTTCTTATGCCACCTGCTTCGAGGATCTTATTTCGGTCAGCTTCGACCGGGTCGGATGCATTGCCAACAATTTGTTCGCTTACGGGCAACTCTTGTTTCGCAATGGTGCGGCCTATAATAGGTACTCGGAAACGACCAACGCAGTTGTTGCTGCGCATCCAGGTCGCTCGCCTCTCCCTGGGATCTCGCGTTCGCGTGGCTCACGGAAGAGCCCCACGTGCACCACAGAGTGATGCCAAGAGGCGTCCTTCTGGCCCTTCTCCTGGCCGCCTTGGTCTGGGGAT